TTAAATATAAGGAGACTTAAGCTTGGGAGACTAAAGATGGGAAAGTCACTTGACCAAAGTCACATAGCTGGAAGTGTGACAAGTCTGAGTACAAACCAAGATCTGTGTGATTCAAAGCCACAGTCTCCCCACTAAATAATAATTACTGTATTATATTCAGTTTACAAGCATGAAACATGAACTTGCCCAAGGATTGGATAACCATTGTTAAAGGTCAGTTATAATAGTATTGCTCTGGATTTACATAGTGCATCTTTTTTCAGAACTCCAAAAACATCCAACAATTTATTCTCATGACATATCCTTGAGGCCAGGAGGAGCAAGTATTATTTTACCAGATGTGGAATCTGGAAGAACAAAGAGATTCTATAATTTGCTCAAGGCCATAGAGTTAGCAGCAAAACAAAATGAAAATGGAGGTCTTCACGTCCCTAGCGCAATACTTACCTCCATGAAAAATGGCTACCTCTCATTAAGTTTGCATAAGACCCAAATTAAGTAATAAGCTTACTTGTATGTTGGGGGGGAGCGGAGTTTGTGGAATAATAACGATAATAATCATAATAACCGCCTTTGTTGAGTGCCTACCACGTACTGAGTTCTTTCTACTCATGAATGAGTTCTAGTACTCATGAAGCTCAGATCGTGTAGCTGACTTGCTCAGGATACGCACAGGATATGATAAAGCTGATTATCAAATCCAGACTTCTCTAGCTTGAAAGTCCAGACTTTTGCCACCGAGCCACATCAATATAGATATGAAATGCCATTCTCAAGTCCCAGTAGGAATATAGGTGATATTCACTACTACAAAATCCAATTCCAATAAATGAATTGTGGTAGCACTTTAGGTTGTAGTGATGATTGTGTGACTAAATTTCTATAAAGTTCCCTAGACCAGTACCTGACATCAAGTAAGAGCTCCATAGATGGTGATAATGATGATTATAAAGTTGGTATGGACGGGAATTGTTTGAATGGCATTTGTTGTATTTCTCATTAGGTTTGGTTCCACCAAGTGAGCTGCACACAAGAATCCTTGTATCAAAATACCCAGTGTTCTCTTGTTCATCACGTGTAATTTACACATAAGTATATATAATCGATCAAAACTACTAAGATGTAATTACTAAACAGAGTGATTTGATGCTGAGCTAACTTACAGTTCAGGAGTATGAGACATGGTCCTTGCCTTTAATCCCAAATAGTTGGAAAGGCTAAATGAAATCATAATAACTTACAAAATTACTTAAATAGTTTCATCGAGCCCCTTGCTCGCCAAACATGTGCAGAAACAGTAGTGGAATGAACGTTTGTGAAATGATTGGTACAGACTGAGTCAGAGAGGCAGGAGGAAAATTGAGATGATGTCGCAAAAAGTGGTCAGGGAAGGCAGGAGACTGTCGGATCGGGCAGTTAACCGATTGACTACTACACTTCAAGAGAGTAGGCAGCAGGGAAACAGCACGATATCTGCATCTCCACAAGGGCACATGTGTAACAAAGTTCGTCTCTGAGGCTGACCACGTGTCCTGTTAGCAGGTGCCTCACCTGAGTCCCTGCTTCCAGCTGATTGTGGAAGCTCTTCTGCAAACCCAAGTCATCCCCTCTCTTGATTCTGAGCACTTAAGTGGCTTGTGACATGAGTTTCAGGGCAATGCCCTGAAAGCTCTCTTCCCTCACTCCCCTCCATAAGCTAAGTAAGGAGACCATTGTAGGTGCAGTGATTTCAAGGTTTTATTGCTCAACCATAAAAATTGTCAAGATATCGAGCACCCAAATGACTGCGGCAAATGTGTGGTAATTACATTTCATTAAAATGCCTAGTATGCTTACCACTAAGATGATTTTCAAAGCTGCTAGCCAATTACTCTATCTAACAGGGTCTACAGCTTGTTCAAAGAGTCCACGGTATAGAAAATAGTTGGCATTTTTCTTAGTGGCTCTTGTTTTATTCGCCAATGTGTATAGGTGTATGTATACATCTAGTACATGTGGGCATGTGCATGTGGGTACATATGCATTCATATATGTATGCATATTGGATTTGTGAGGTACATCATCAGTGCCCAGGAGGGTCTTACATTTGATTAAATTCATCTCTTTAGGAAAGAAACACCCCTTCCCTTCATCTCTACCCTATAGGAAGTTAGTGAGAAATTTGGCCAATGGGAAAACGCAAGTTGGATTCCAAATAGACCAAATCATTAAAAATGCTGCCTACACTTTCTATTCTAGAGGAATCTACCTATACCCTCAGCTCTTCCAGGCCAAAAAAAAAAAAAAAGAAAAAAAGGCAGAATTTTTTTAATGCATTGTGGTTGTAAGACTAAGAAAGGTTTTCACTGTAGTTAGGTGTTTTAAAAATTAGTGTTTGTACTAAAATTGATATAAATTCGAGCCACAAAAGACACAGGGCCATTATTTTTCAAGAATATAGTTAACCATATTTTTCCATCTGGTAGAAAATAGAGTACTACTTAAGCTGCTACTAGGCTGTGAATTGTGGACTCACTGACCACTTCTTTTGCTATTATAGGCATGAAGTAGTGAACTCTTTGTTTTTGAATGCTTGAGTTAGAGATTACCCAGATAGAGGGACAAGTCTTAAACCTTTTGGATTTAGGACAAATACAGATCTAGAATGACACTTAAGCACTACCAATGCTCAAATTTTTTGGAGCTATGAAAGGCTATGGATTATTTCACTGACACCTCTCATCAGCAAAATTTCTGGGTGGCTTATAGAAATAACTTGTTATTTCTTAATGGAGTTGTATATCCTTTTCTGAGAATTTCATGGCACCTCCTCAAGCTGATTGGACATGTCTGGAAGTGCTACAAACCCAGACTTGAAAACCACTGGTCTCCACGTTGAATGGCAGAACCATGGAACAGGCCATACATAGCTTCCTGCTAAGCCTTTAGAAAGACCAAGTTCTGTCACTTGTCTGCTAACTGTGGAGGGAAAGTAAGGAAAACTAGTTACCCTTACAGAGAGCACATAGTCCTGCCGGTATAGACAAGCTGGTAGTGTTCATCTTTTCAGCTTGAGTCATTTTCTGACCTGATGATGTCAGTACATTTCTAAACACAGCTTCCTTTGCATACCCACTCCCCAGCATGCATAAATCCCTCTCAAAGACCCATCCATCCGAGCTACTTAGACTTAAATAGATCTCTTTTGCCTCTGCCATGGGTTCCAGCTGCAGAAAAGTCCAGTAACCAGCTGCAAATCAAAAGCAGTTGTCTTTAACCCCAACTGTGCATTAGAATCACCAGGAGAGCATTTGAAACTCCTAGTGCCCAGCCATGTGTGAGAACCACCGAGCTTACAGAACTCTCCGGAGCCTAATCAAGTTTACTTTTTTTTTTTTTTTTTCAGTTAAATCATCTATAACTTAGTTAGTCCTCGACTGTTCTTGTTTATGTTGCCTTGTCATGGCTTTGCAAATAGTTACTTACCTTGTCTCTTGAGCCTGCTTCTCTGGATGGAGATGATGGACATTCAAAATATGCTAGTCAAGACACAAAAGAAGATTGTAACCTGACGTGGTTCGTGATAACCAAAGTCCATAGCATCAAGAGCTGAAGGGGGCTTTGGGGGCTGAAGCAAGATCATAGAACAAGCCCTATAAACCTGGGATTTGAGAACCGTATGATAGGGGTGCAAAGGCAGCTCTGATAATTCAACACTTATTGAGGGCGTATGGCTCCAGTAAGAAAACAAACCAAGACTCTGCAGCTCGGTCCACTGTGAATAGTTGCACCCCATTTTGTACACAAGTGTTGTTCGTCAGCTGACCAAGACATCTGAGACCCTTGACTAAACTATACCTTGCATTAGGTCACTTTGAAATGAAAATGTAACCCAAAATATGGTACAGGTCCAGCAAAGGGGCGGGGAGGGAATGGTGAGATGATTCTATGTGGTGCAGGAAAAACCATCCTTTATTTGGTAATTTTTTATCTATTGAAAACCTGTAACTGGCCCACCAAATACATAATTTTACAGGTACTGTTGCTTTGACTGCTGTTTAGAAATGTGTCCACTTACAGAAAAGTTATCAGTAGTTGTATACAGGTGATACCCCTATAGGGAAGGAAAACAAAAGACAAAAGTCTGGTAACAGGACATGATAGTGTGTCGTGACCATGGTCAATTTCAAATCAAGGTCCGTATTCTTCCCAAACTACCAGTTTAGGGAAGGAGCCAGGGGAAAACAAAAAGCCAAAGGATGGTTATTAGGTCTTTAAGGAAGATAGGGAGGACCCCATGAACTGCCCCCACGGTGAAGCGCTCTTATTTCAGCCAGCTTGATATTTAAGAGGCCGGGTGCTGCATTGTATTGATCTAGAATTGGGCCTGCAGTGTCAGCAGCAGGCTTGGGGAGCCCAGGCCCAGCTGCCCCGTGGGCGCCCCTCGGGAAGACAGGAGAGGACCAGCTCGCGGCGGGGGGGGGGGGGGGGGGGCAGTGTGTGTGGAAGGATTGGAAGGGGCGCAGAGAGGCCGCTGTGCCTACACTCTGATCAAACTCCTCGTCTCCTTCCCTGGGGGCCCCTCTGGGCCACAGGCAGACCCAAGGGGGGTGGGGGGGCAGAGAACAAAGCAGCCAAGTGTACCTGCCTTTCCAGAGAAAGAGGGGTCTGGTGAAAACAGCCCCCCTGACAGCTGTGCCCCATGGCTTGGCAAATTAAGGGCTTTTTACATGTTTCCTTCAAGACTCTGTTTAGTCTGGATCCTGAGGATTTATGTATCAATTTTTGGCTCTGGTGTCATTGAGGTGGTTCTGGTTTCCAGTGGTACCGCTGTCATCTGTACTGGCCCACGGTGAAAGAGGGAGCTAAGAGAACCTGGGGAGGGGTGGGGGGACACGTCGTGCAGGGGCAGCCAAAAGATGCCTTCTTCCCGGGCTCCCCAAACCTAACCTCATGCAGCAGCCCTTCCTGAGAAACACCTGGCCCGGGTGGGTAAACGGCTTTCACATTGGTTTTTGCAGAAGTGGCAGTGCATTGAGGACACGTCTGGCAAGCTTCGGATTCACAAGTGTAAGGGATCCAGCGACCTGCTCACAGTCCGCCCGAGCGCCCGGAACCTCTACCCCCGCGGCTTCCACGACAAGGACAAGGACAAGGACTGCAGTTGCGGGGAGCCTGGCTATCGTGCCGGCAGGGGCCAGAGGAAGGGTCAGAGACAGTTCCTGCGAAACCAGGGGACTCCCAGTAAGCTCCAGGGGCCTTTGCAAATGGACAGGAGGGAGACCAAAGGCTTGATCCTTCTACATTTAGGTCTTTTTTTTTTTTTTTTTTTTTTTTTTAAGATTTTGAGAGAGAGAGAGGCAGAGACACAGGCAGAGGGAGAAGCAAGCTCCATTCAGGGAGCCCGAAGTGGGACTCGATCCCGGGTCTCCAGGGTCCAGGTCCTGGACCGAAGGGAGGTGCTAAACCGCTGTGCCACCCAGGGATGCCCTACGTTTTAGGTCTTCCAATGCATACTTTTGCAGCGAAAAGCAAATAACTGTTATGTTTAAAATACCAAAGCTCATTTGAAATTTCGGGTTTGTGCACATTTTAACTTGAGCATAGAATATGCATAGAATATGTTCCGTAAAAGCGCCACACACAAAATATCCACGCACATGGAAGAGCTAGAAAGAGGTAAAAGGTGTGGTGAGGGGCAGAAGGTATAATTCAGGTCAGTTTTCTTTGACATCAGTGCTAATGTCCTGATTTGTCTCCCTTGAGCTGCTTTAAAAAAAAAAAAAGGAACAAAATAAAAATTCGCGGTTTCGTGGCTTATGCATCTAATAAGAAAAGCATAAATATTTCTTAAAGGTACGTCTGTTATTAGACAATCTTTATTTTTTTTAATTCCTCTTGTTGACTGGCAGGGTGCAACTAGTCAAATGCAGTACGAAAAGCGCTACCTAATATTTTCTTTATAAAATCCTATATCCTATATCCTATCCTGCGCTATATAAAATTCCTGCAATTATACAGATGTGAAAACCCAGGCGGCACCTTCCATAAAAGAATGAGTCTGGCGCCATCTAGTGACAGCATGGGAAAAGTGACTCATTTCTGGGGCTGTTCTTTTCTATATTGGTTTGGAAGTAAGATATTTGCTGCATTCTGAATTGGGTAGACTTTGCTTTTGTTTTTGAAGTAAGCTGCACACACAACATGGGGCTTGAACTCACGACCTCCAGATCAAGAGTCCCATGCTCATACCGACGAAGCCAGCCAGGTGCCCCGCACCTTGTAAATTAGGAAATCAATCACTAGGAACAATAGGAGCTCTCAGCACTGGCTTTATTCTTCTGGACTCCACAGATGGACTTTAGGGGATCGTGAGCCTTCTACCATTTAAGCCAAAATTCTAAGTCTATTCTGTGTGTATGTGCACATTTTTCTGGATATCCATAACATTCAACACACTCCTAAAGGAATCCATAACCCAAAGGCTGCAATGATTGATTTGGGAAATTTTTTTTTTCTCCCTGAGATAAAATGCCAGGTTTAATAATTCACGCAAAGATAGCACATGGAGGGCAGCCTGGGAGGCTCAGCGGATTAGTGCTGCTTTCGGCCCAGGGCGTGATCCTGGGGACCCGGGATCAAGTCCCACATCAGGCTCCTGCATGGAGCCTGCTTCTCCCCCTGCCTGTGTCTCTGCCTCTCTCTCTCTCTCTCTAATGAATAAATAAATAAAATCTTAAAAAAAAAAAAAGATAGCACATGGAAGCCAAAAAGAGACAAAGATTCCTGACATTGTCCCTTAACGGAATCTGATTACCAATGTTGGACTCCAATTCCTCCAAGGAAGGGGCCGCCTCTTCTCTCTGGGGAGGTTAGATGTGTCTCCACCGCAGTGACCCTAAACACTGTGTTGTTCAATGTTGAGCACAGACTGGAGAGGTCTGGGGCCACTCTTTCAAACCACATGGAGTCTCACATATTTGAGGGCAGGAGTTGCTCGTGAGCACGCACAGTGACCTGCTGACTGTACAGAGGCGTTTCCTCCTCTGGAAACTGCCATCACAGCAGGGTCCTGTGGGAGCATCAATTTTGATGCGATGGCCTGTGTGCTCCCCTTCTTCCTATTTCAGCAGCAGGCTGGAGAGAGAAGTTCCATGTGAGAATGCCCCCTCAGAGCCAAAGGGCATCTGAGAAGGAGCCAAGGTTTGCACATTAAAGCTCTTGTCTTAACACACTATGAGACTTGACAGAAAGCATGCTGGCCTCCCCCTGGCATTACATTCCATCTGCTAGGTATTAAAAGTCAGTTGGCTGATAAAAGCATTTGCAAAATTTAATTTTTCTCTGTTTTTGGTACAAATAGAAGGTGCTGAGAGCATTTACCCTTTTGAAAAAAGCAGCCCAATGTTGTAGAAAGACTGTAGCCTTTAGAATCTGGTAGATTAGAATCCTGGTTCCCACAGCCGTTGGCTACATAAACTTGGAAAATGTAGGTAGCCTTCAGAGCTTCAGTTTTCCCATTCTTAAAAATCATAACACCAGGGGCACCTGGGTGGCTCAGTGGTTGAGCATCTGCCTTCAGCTCAGGGCGTGATCCTGGGGACCTGAGATCTAGTCCCACGTCGGGCTCCCTGCATGGAGCCTGCTTCTCCCTCTGCCTGTGTCTCTACCTCTCTCTGTGTGTCTCCCATAAATAAATAAATAAATAAATAAATCTAAAAAAAATCTTTAAAGAAAAAAACAGAATCATAACACCAAATTTATGAGCCTGTTCTGACAATCTAATAAGTTTTTTAATGTAAGGATTTATCATAATAATACAGGTCTTCTAAGATTGTGGATTAGAGGTGAGTATGAGGTGAATAATAATACATAGCAAAAGCCCAATCAGTGAGTCAGTATTATGATTAATATCATAATTGGGAGTATAGTTTTATCCAAACAAACTGCCTTAGCAGTTCACATTGAGAATGCAGCGTGGAAGTTCACAGCCTGCTGTGAATAGAAAGGAACTTAGGGGTCCCCCAGATGTGCCCCCTCACTGGAGGGATGAAAGGCTGAGCCTCAGAGGAGCATGCCTCCCACCACACTGCCCTGCAGCACCCAGGCCCAGACAGGAGCCCAGCCCTCCTGACCTGAATCCCAGTGGGCTGCCACAGCACCCCGATGCCCCTCACCAATGCCATATAAACTGCTTGCCCCTTCCCAGAATGCTCACTGAGCCAGGCGGTGCTTTTCATCCCTCCTAAACTACACCCAGATGTCCACATTAATAATGTGTCTCCCCTTCTTTCCAGAGTACAAGCCCAGATTTGTCCATACTCGGCAAACACGTTCCTTGTCAGTCGAATTCGAAGGTGAAATATATGACATAAATCTGGAAGAAGAAGAATTGCAAGTGTTGCGACCGAGAAACATCGTCAAGCGCCATGATGAAGGCCACAGGGGGCCCGGAGGTCACCAGGCTCCCGGCGACGGGGACGCGATGCTGGCCGACAGAGACAACGCCCTGGGCTTGCCCACCACCGTCAGAGTGACGCACAAGTAGGGAGGCTTTAGCTGTTCGCGGGGGCTGAGTTCAGAGCCACCACCCCCCCTCCCCATAACCACTATTTTGCTTCTTTATAAAAAGTGATAGCACTCGGCCCTACAGGGTCCGGAGGCTGGCCTGTGTAACACCTGGGGTTTAAAGAAGCCAAGGGGACACGCTTTGGGTTCAGTTTCACATGAAGCTGGTCCCTGGGAGTTTAGCCAGAGTGGTTCTGTCACAACTTAGCAGGCACGCAGTTCTGCCTTTGAAGAGTTACCTTCGTGGGAGTCTAGGGAGCAGATGGAAACCATCACTGGCACTGGTAGAGGCTCAGAGCACTTGTGCACTCCCAGCCTCAGAAATGAAATACAGCCCAAGGGGGACTGCAGGTCCTGGAGAGGCTTCCAGAGAGGTGGGATGTGTTGCAAATGGACATAAGATGCAGAAACATCTACTAAACTAGTCAGATCCCAGAAAGCATGGTGGGCCTCCGGAGTCACGGGGACGGGGAAGGAGGCGATCATCCCACAGCTGTAATGGATGACCCCGGTTCTCCACTTCCTTCCAAAATCCAGTTGTTCTATTGATAGAGAAAAACTTTCTTTCTGAATTTATTAGCAAAGTCTTTTTTTCCCCCCTCTCCCATTCTATCACTTTGGTGGGGGGCCTGCTATCATGAGCTCTTGCCAGGATTTTTATCTTTGGAATCGGTCTTCAGATGCCTGTATCATTGACTTTGATCAAGGTGTAGGGGGCGGAGGGCATTGGGGACACTCCCCCCACCCCCACAGTTGAAAAACCACATATACCTTTTGACTCCCCAGAAACTTTACTACTGGTGGCCCTACTGCTGACCAGAAGCCTTAGCGATAACATAAACAGTTGATTATATGTATCATATACTGTATTCTTACGAGAAAGTAAGTTAGAGGAAAGAATGTTTTTATGAAAATCATAAGGAAGACAACATATCTTTCTAGTACTGGACTGTGTTTATCAAAAAGACAACAAATCCACGTATAAGTGAACCCGTGGAATTCCAGCCTGTATTGTTCCAAGGTCAACTGCAGTTATAGGCTAGGAGATTTAGACCGGGATTTGTTTCTCTTTCAGTATTGATTGACCCCTTATCCCAAATTTTCTCTGTCCCTGGGACTGTTTCTTTGCTGCACACCTAATGAGATACTCCAGGCAGGCTCTTTGTAACAAAATGAATAGGATAAATAACCCCTTTCTGACTCTGCTTTTCTTTAATCAACTTACTTCCATTATAACTGTGAAAACGTCAATTTTTCCTATGGTATTTGACGAGGCCTTCAAAACTGGGGCTGTCTGGTGGTGGCTGTTCTTGGGGATGTGAATACTCAATATTGTGAATACTCACAGCAATATTGCTGTGAAAGGGGATCTTAGGAATGGTTCCTCTCTGATACCATCCTTTCCCCACACTGGTGGCCAGGAGACATTCCCATGTATCTTTGTCTGTGGCTCAACTCCAACATGCTGCTTGCATCCAAATTAAGAGTTTAGAAGATAATTCTGTTCCTTTTGCTATCTCTAATGGATTTTTTTAATATTAGTAAATATTAACATATAAACCTATCTCTAATGTTTTGGGTTGGTTTGTTTTTGCAGGTGCTTTATTCTTCCGAATGATACCATCCATTGTGAGAGAGAACTGTATCAATCAGCGAGAGCCTGGAAGGACCACAAGGCGTACATTGATAAAGAGGTTAGCCACAGCCATGTGATTGGAAGGGTGCATTCCGGATGCAAACTCGGCTCCCAGCCCCGTGGAGACTGGTGGGGTTCACTGTGTATACACATCATTGTTTTTTACAATCACAGTTATATGAAACAGCGTAGCAAGGTTTTATCTTTCCCCGGTGATGTAGTGATTGTCCTGCCTGAAAACAAAATAGGGTGTGAGAAAATAGCAGGGATTGGCTCCATGACCTGTTGAAATTTCCGTGAGGAAATGATCCAGTCGTAAGTGAGGCATCTGTTCATGTTTATCTACCGCACATCAGCAGGAACGTCGAGGTAGACATATTCTGTGTCCACTTTGTTTCCAAGTTAATTATCATCTCAGTGGAAGAGCTGGAATTATGGAATATAGAAAGCAAGGTGAAAAGAGAGGCACTCAGCATAGAAAATCCTGATCTTCAAATGTAATTGTTCACGCATGTGTCTTCCAGATTGAAGCTTTGCAAGACAAAATTAAGAATTTAAGAGAAGTGAGAGGACACCTAAAGAGGAGAAAGCCGGAGGAGTGTGCCTGTAGTAAACAGAGGTGAGTGGGCGGCCACTTCACCCCCTTGTTTCCAAACTCATGTTTCCACAAGCTCCGGTGACAAGCACTGGGCTTATTTGTCTCTTCTACCAATAGAAAGCTTAGTAAATTGAATTTATTATCATATACTGAAAAGAAATATGTCATAAACCTAAGCCGAAGGTTAAAAAGCCCCATTAAGCTAAGACAGTTACAACAAAGTAACTACTTTCCTTCTGTTCTTCCTGTTTGTAAAATGAATTGTCGCTTTGCCAGGGGTGGCTCGGTTGGTGAAGCATCTGCCTTTGGCTCACGTCATGATCTCAGAGTCCTGGGATCGAGCCCTAGGCCTGGCTCCCTGGGCAGCAGGGAGTCTGCTCCTCTCTCTGCCCCTCCCTCCTGCTCTACTCTTCCTTGCTATCTCTCTGCCTCTCAAATAAATAAATAAAATCTTTTTAAAAATAAAATAAAATAAAATAATAAAATAAAATAAAATAAACTGTCTGATTAAATGTGAGACTATGAAGACTCCCTTTTCAATCTTCTTGCCCGTAGCTATTATAATAAAGAGAAAGGTGTAAAAAAGCAAGAGAAGGTGAAGAGCCATCTCCACCCATTCAAGTAAGTGAGTCTGTTTTTCCACTTTCACTGGGAGTGGAGGACTGTCCCCTGGGCACTTCTAAAAGGCAGCAGGGACCCCTGTGTTCCAAGTGGTGCTGCTTCCAAGCAAGCAGATCTAGCCAGGAAGGCACAGAGCTCCAGAAGTTGGCAACAAAGCCCTATCTTGCCAAGAGACCACGGGGATGCTTTTGGAATCCTTTAGGGGGAGCCATGAGGAGATCTGCTCTAATTCTATATGTGTTCTCTGCCGATGTATGGGATGGTAACTGGATTTTATTCTATGCACTGCTTTCTGTGGACAGCAATTGGGAAAAGGGACCATGGTGATTAGGTTGGTGTGTCCATAGAATAGTCTGCAATCGTGCTGAATTCTGAAAGCTGGAAGAAATACACATATCTTTAAAATAATAGTTAAAATTTGCATGTGAAGGGGATTTAGTATTGAGCCTCAGCAAAAGTTGAGCCCTTTATGGAATAAAACAAAATAGTAACAAAAAGGAATTCTTTCCAAGTCATGTAATCCCACTAACCATTGACTTTCTGGCTGATGAGTACTAAGTCCCAGGGAGTTAAGCCACAAGTCCAAATGCTGTGGCTAGCGGGATCCATGGATTCACCTCGACATTTATTTCCACCGGTGTTTACAAGTAAATAAGGAAGAAAACGTTGATCCTTCCAGGCTCGGTAAAATTCTAAGAGAGTTGTCACTTAATGAGTTTGTCTTCACTTTTGCCGATTATAGTTCGAGGCCCTCTGTGGAAAACAAGTCCTCTGTTACTGTGGATCTGCATATTTTGTGTGAGATTCATAGCGACAATAATATTTTTAATTGGGAAACTGCTTTCTGATAATTAACACACCCCTTCTGTTGGAATAGGGAAGCTGCTCAAGAAGTAGACAGCAAACTGCAGCTTTTCAAGGAGAACCGTAGGAGGAAGAAGGAGAGGAAGGAAAAGAAACGCCAGAGGAAGGGGGAGGAATGTAGCCTCCCTGGCCTCACCTGCTTCACACACGACAACAACCACTGGCAGACGGCCCCATTCTGGAACTGTACGTACTGTGTGTTTCTGGTTTGGGGTTTTTTTTGGTGGGGGGTTAGAAATAGTTTTCCCAGTTTGGGGGCACCTAGTTGGCTTAGTTAGTTAAGCATTGACTGTTGGTTGCAGCTCAGGTCATGGCGAGATGGAGCCACGCATTGAGTTCCATGCTCAGTGCAAAGTCTGCTGGAGATTCTCCCTCTCTCCCTCCTGCGTCTATCTTTCCATGACTCATGCTCTCCAAATAAACACATACATACATAAATACATCCATAAAATTATTTTCTTTTATATATTTTTAAAGATTTTATTTATTTATTCATGAGAGACACAGAGAGAGAAAGAGAGAGGCAGAGACACAGGCAGAGGGAGAAGCAGGCTCCATGCAGGGAGCCCAATGTTGGACTTGATCCCGGGTCTCCAGGATCACGCCCTGGGATGAAGGTGGCACTAAACTGCTGAGCCACCCGGGCTGTCCCATAAAATCATTTAAAATTTTTTTTCCCAGTTTTATTGAGATACAATTGACACAGAACTGTTTAACTTTAAAGTGTACGGCATAATGACCTGACTTCTGTGTATTATGACGTGATGACCACGGTAAGTTCAGTTAGCGCCTATCATCTCATCTGAGTTACTCCTTTTAGATGCCACTGTCCACCGCCATGCAGAGAGCCAGCAACTAACGCCACAGTTACTAAGACTAGGGCTTCAGCAGTGTAAAACCAGGAACCTAGAATGATTTAAGAGGAGAGCATCATATTATTTTCTACACTGGTAACTAGAATGATTTTGCCAAAAATTAACTTTGTCTTTAAAGATTTGTTTTCATATTTTATTTGCAAATGCCAAGCTCACCCTGCATGTTTCTGCTGATGATGTTATTTCACACAGTAACCAGCTTTTGGCAGAGTTCCTACCCAGTAAGACTGGCTTTAGTTCTATCTATAACTAAATAAATGGACGAACAATTTTGCCTCGAATAGATTTTGTTTCTATTTCACTTCATGTAATTCTGTAAGTATAATAAAAGGAAGTGAAAACCCCTCTAATGCAGGGGCCATATCCTACTAGTTCTCAGTCCCCTTTGGTACCTAGCATCATGCTCACAGAAGAATAAGGATTCTACATAATTGGTGGTTTTACGTGGAATTGCTGATGATATGTAATAATAATTATGTGGGGTTTTTTGTTTTGTTTTTTAAGAGAGAAACAGGACATGCAAACCAGGGAGGAGGGGCAGAGGGAGAGGGAGAGAGAGAACCTTAAGCAGGCTCCATGCCCAGCTCGGAGTCCAATGCGGGACTCGATCTCACAACCCTGAGATCATGACCTGAGACAGAATCAAGAGTCAGACACTTAACCAGTGAGGCACCCAGGGGTCCCAACAATTGTGCACTTTTAAAATTCATACTTACATGTGCTTTGGTGGCCTATGCACAGTATTCACTGAGGCCTTCCAGAAATAATGCCCTTAATTCTTGTGGCACAACATCTGATTGAAGGCTTACCATCCCAGGGAGTAGCTAAAACCTCAGATCTTCTCATTGAGAAGAACCCAGGAGACCACCTGGGTCAGAGTCTCTCAAAGTGGAATTTAGAGACTCCAGGAACCCAAGACCATTCTCAGGGGGTTTCAGGCCTATATCCCAAAATCTTTGTTTTATCTTTCCATTTGGATGCTTTTTGATTTCAGTATCCAAGCTTGCATTTTCATTTCCAGCCACACTGAGGCCAAGTGAACTCTTAAACTCATAGCATTTAACTTTTAATCTCATTCCCTAAATTGGGGAGTGAAGACCTCTGAGGGTCACTCAGGTTACAGGGGTCCATTCTCCACCAAGCTCTGGGGTGGGGTACAGGAGACATAGCAGTTTGAAAAATAATTTCTGCAGGGCAAGGGATGAATAGATGGAGCAGTATGGATCTTTAGGGCCATGAAACTACTTCGTATGATACTATACTGGTGATACATGTCATTATACATTTGTCAAAGCTCATAGAACATACAACACTAAGAGCGAACCATAATGTAGGCTATGGACTTTGGGTGATGATGTGTCAATGTAGGTTCATTAACTGTCACAGATGTGCCACTGTCAAAAGGGAATTTGGTAGTGTGGAAGGTTGGGCATCTGTGAGATGAGTGTAGTCCCTAGAAAGTCTCTGGGCCTTCTGCTAGGTTTTTCTGTAAACTGTTTTATGCTCTAAAAAGTCTATTAGGGACACCTGGGTGTCTCAGCGGTTGAGCATCTGCCTTCGGCTCAGGGTGTGATCCTGGGGTCCTGGGATCAAGTCCCACATCAGGCTCCCTGCATGGAGCCTTGTTCTCCCTCTGCCTGTGTCCCTGCCTCTCTCTCTGTGTCTCTCATGAGTAAATAAATAAAATCTTTTTAAAAAATAAATAAATAGGGATCTCTGGGTGGCACAGCGGTTTGGCGCCTGCCTTTGGCCCGGGGCGTGATCCTGGAGACCCGGGATCGGGTCCCATGTCGGGCTCCCTGCATGGAGCCTGCTTCTCCCTCTGCCTGTGTCTCTGCCTGTCTGTGTGACTATCATGAATGAATAAATAAAATCTTTAAAAAAAATAATAAATAAATAAATAAATAAATAAATAAATAAATAAATAAGAAGTCTATTAAAGTAAAATTTAAAGAAAATCATTTCTCATTCATTGTTTAAAATATCTCTTAGCTTAAGGGGACAGATTTAGTGTGTTTAATATTGGATAGGGAGGTAAGTAGCATATAGTGGTTAAGACTATAGCCTTTAGGGATCCCTGGGTGGCGCAGCGGTTTGGCGCCTGCCTTTAGCCCAGGGAGCGATCCTGGAGACCCGGGATCAAATCTCACGTCAGGCTCCCGGTGCATGGAGCCTGCTTCTCCCTCTGCCTATGTCTCTGCCTCTCTCTCTCTCTCTCTCTCTGTGACTATCATAAATAAATTTTAAAAAATTTAAAATAAATTAAAAAAATAAAATTCAGATTATTAAAAAAAAAAGACTATAGCCTTTAGCCAGATCTCTAATGCTGCCACTTGTCAGCTGTTGTGACTTTAGATAAATTACTTAACCTCTCTGCGCTCTGTTTTTCCCATCTGTAAAATGGAAAGAATAATAATCTGTCTCATAAAGTTCTTTTAAGGAGTCAATGCATGCAAAGCACATAATGGACAGTGAATGCTCACTAATTAAGTGTACCTATCCCAATTATTTAAAAAATATTTGCTAGATAGCACTTTTAAAGATTTTATTTATTTATTTGAGAGAGAGGGAGAGAGAGCATGAGTTGGGTGGGAGGGCAGAGGGAGAAGCCAACTCCCCTGGGATCATGACCTGAGCCAAAGGCAGATGCTTAAACAACTGACTGCCTCTCTAGGTAGCACACTTTTAAAATTCGATTATTATTGCAGGAAAGGTCAGCAAATCTGGAAACTGCCTTTCTATAAAAGAAGACTAAGTAAAAAAAAAAAAAAGAAGAAGAAGACTAAGTAATTTGTTTTGTTTTGACATATGTTTTATTTACTTTCCACCAGTTAACCAGTGAACCTCTCATGGTACAAAACGTGTTAATGGTCATAGCTCATCTCACGTTAAGACATTGTTGGGGTGCCTGGGTGATGCAGTCAGTTAAGTGTCTGACTCTTGGTTTCAGCTCAAGTCGTGATCTCAGGGTCGTGATCTCAGGGTTGTGAGATCAAGCCCTGAGTCAGAGTCCGTGCTCAGCCGGAATTCTGCTTGAGAATCTCTCCCTCTCCCTCTGGTCCTCCCCACTGCGTTTGTGTGCTCTCTCTCTCTCTCTCTCTCTCTCTCTCTCTCTCTCTCAAATAAATAAATAAATCTTTAAAAAAATATATTGTCTTCAATGATCACAAAGAATCCCGTTTCTGTGCACCATTTTATGACGTGTCGCTGTGATATAGAGAACAAAGCAAGGGCACCAGGTCCATCTCTATATTATAAAACTATTTTTTTTCTTTTTTAAGAAAAGATATAAATAACCAGAAATACAAGCTCTGATCATTTCCTTCCCCTTCATTCTCCACTCAATTTCAGTGACTACGGCCTGACGGAGGGAAGCAAATTAATGTGCCTAAAACTTTACCTTGGCCTTCCATCTGTATTCACGATCATAAATTGCCATTATTTTTCCCATTTGCCACCTGGTCCCACAGCAAATTATTTAGAAAGGAGGGAAATATAATTTTTTAAAACATCTAACCACATAGTAGTTACAAGAAAGAAAACGTGCCCCTTAAAGTAAAAAAGATCAGGAAATGGTTAGCCGGCCTATATTTTTTTGTTTTTTCAGGCTAGCCAGCCTACATTTTTTGTTTTTTCATTCTTTTTGTTTTGTTTTTCTTTTTCTTTTTTTTTTTTTTTTTACCAACAGTGGGCTCTTTCTGTGCTTGCACGAGTTCTAACAACAATACCTACTGGTGTTTGCGGACAGTTAATGAGACGCATAATTTTCTTTTCTGTGAGTTCGCCACTGGCTTTTTGGAGTATTTTGATATGAATACAGATCCTTATCAGGTAAGTCCATATGTTTTCGTTTTATGAAGGTTGTTGAAAATGAAACAGCCAGAACATGAGCATAACTCTATCGTCCTGGCCTCCTCATCCACAGCTCACAAACGCAGTGCACACGGTGGAACGGGGCATTTTGAATCAGCTGCACGTTCAACTCATGGAGCTCAGAAGCTGTCAGGGGTACAAGCAGTGCAACCCAAGACCTAAGGGCCTTGAAGTTGGTAAGGGGGAAAAAGGGTTGTGGTTTTTTTTCCTATATTTCCTGGAAAATTCTTTGTGTTGTCGAGTTTTCCACCTTTGAAACGTCTGTATGCGTAGAAACACAAGAGTTTGGGATTCATTCAGGGGAGACTTTCCAGGCAATTCCAAATATAACGTGTTCTCTCAGCTTACCTCTGGGAGCATTAATGAAAAATGTAACGCACCAAAAGATCTGGTGAGAATTTTATTCCAGTTTCTCCCACACGTCTGTTCTACTAGTAAACTCTCCTGGTAGAAGCACTCACTGGCAGGTTGGATGAAAGCATTGGGGACTTATTGGTTATTGCTGCCAATAGACAGAACATATTCTCTAGGTAAACCAGGATATCCTAATTTTTTAAGTGAATTTGGATGGAAACACACAATGCCCTGTTTCTGCTTATCACTGTTGGGAGCTGCCCCAGTGGGATCCCTACCCGTGACACAGTGAATTAGATTTCTTTTACCAGGATTTCCTCTCTGAAGTTAGAGATACTTGAGTAATTCACTGTCCTGGGGCCTAAGAGCGTTAGAGGGCCCATACGGAATCAGCCAGATGTTCCCTCCCGGGGCCACAGTGTTAAACTCACTTATCTCCCCTCTGGTTCATAAGGCTGCAGTTCTTTTCAGCCTGTCCAGCCCTTTCCCAGTTGATGAGAACACTGACTTTCTCATAATTCCTGTAGAAATGTAAATTCCTGCAGTCCACAGAAGGAAGGAGAGAGAGCTGGTGCTGGCCAGGGCTTGCCAGCAGCGCAGCATGTCAACCCCAAAAGGGTGAACCGTGGGGCTCCCTGGCAGTGGGGAGCACTTTGCAGGGACCCGTTGTGTGCAGCTGGGTTTTCCCAGTGCCCCTAACAGCCGGTGTCTCTGGGTCCCTGGCTCATGTGACTGGGGGCGGGGGACACCCATCCCCAAAGGAGCAACGTCTGCCACCTGTCATTTGCACATGGTAGGGCGCCAAGGCTTTCAAGCTGTGAAGGTCCCATAAGAAATTCTAGAGGGGTCACCTCACAGCTATCTTCTCCGTTAACATCGTCATCAGATGAGTTGCCAGCCAGAAAAGTCCAGTCCTGACTTGCAAAATGGGTCTTTTGGTCACGACTGCACTTGGCTCGAGCCTTTTCAGATATCCTGCTTACTTGTTCTAGCTTTTCCTCAAATCTTCGCCCTCCACACACCAAAAAGAAAGGAAAAAATGTAAAAGCCCAATAAGGCTTAGAAATTAAACCGCTTATTAGAGGCCCTAGCAAAATTACACCCTGACATTTCTCCCCCAAAGGACCACACTCTCTTAATGGGTGATGATGTAACTGCCCCGGGAAGGCTGACAGTCTCTTGATGGGATGACACACCAGGGGGAGCCCGTGATTGCTGTTCGGCCGAAAGTAGTCCTCTCCACCTTCTAGATCGTTCCTAAGCGAGAGGATTATTGGCCTTTGTTCCCCCCCTAAGTGTTTTGTCTAAAAATAACCATAATTTTACTGAGCCTGACTGGAAGTACTTCTCTTACTACTTTTAAATGGGCCCTCCTCCTTTCCCACTGCACTCCCTTTTCATGTGAACTCCTCTACATTTTATCTCAGACCTTTTTATTTTTTAGCTTTCCATGCTCATTTTGAAGCTGTCTACTAGAAAAGCTCTATGGGACTTTAGCCCTGTCTGTACTTAACACAATCTGTTTCTTTCTAGGATTTAGATGTTGTGCATGGAGAACTACATAGTGAATGGTTTTATGAGTTCTAAAGCTAACATAAATTACTCTTGTATTTTCCTATATCAGGAAATAAAGATGGAGGAAGCTATGACCTACACAGGTATTCACACTTTTTTATTCTCCCCCGCAGCTTCTTTCCCAATAATTGCATGATCCAGCCATTTCAACTAATTTCCGTTTCTCACCGTGTTGCGCAGAGCGTAGTGCGGGGTGCATGCATGTGCTAACAGCATTCGCCGCCATATTGTGTCATTGGTCACAGATCTGTCACTTCGCTTTTAATCAGCTGTCACGGCAGGATGTCTCTCAGAGCATTTACTCCATGTGTGTTTGCTCATTAGATGATGCTTTTAAGCATGGAATGATGTGAAAGGGGGAAAAAAACCCAGAATGACCTTCGGGGGCCCTGGGGAGAGGTCGGGACAATGATTTCCCTTGTGGTGCTTGCACGCTGACGTGTGGAGAGGCTTCCTGGAACCTAGTTAAGAGGTTCTTGTGAACCATGATGTCAAGGACCCAAAAGGAGCAATGGGAATTTTAAGAGCATTCTGCAGCTGAAGGTGGGGGAAAGAGAAGGAGCTTCTTGGTCAAGAGGCCTTAATTAACCTGGGTGGTGAAAAGCAGAGGTGATATGATTCAGAAGGCTCCGCAGGGTGGTGGTGAGTGAGGAGAAGGCACCGGGGTCCCGGACAGAGAGGTCTGTGCATTAGCACGGAGACCATACGCCTGACACACCCAAACTGCATAAACAGGCCTCAGCCCAGCCACCTTGTTCCCTCCGACCCCCACCTGCCCCTCTCATCTCATCGTGTTCTGGAGCGGGGGACCCACACACCTGTCATCGTCAGCGCTTGATAATTTTCCATTCTGAGTATAGACCTTGGGTGGATTTGTCAGAAATGTGTCATGTGGGGCAGGAGGGGACTGCCCTTATCACCTCTACTGTGGGGAAACTGAGGCACCGTGTGTCGACAGGCATCCTCATTCATGATGAATCCATCAAAGGAGCATGGACTTGCTTGGTGCCATGCCGGGGCACCCTGTTTGCCCCACTGCCCCCCCTCCAGCCTCCTGATTGGTCTCAGATTCCTCCTCTTCCAACCAGGAGCCAAACAACAGGAAAGGGAGGGAGAGGGGGATGTAAACAACTAATAGGACTGTGGGAGGATACTTAATAACCACGTGTGTATCTCTTCTTTTTCTCTCCTCTCCTGTCTCCTCTCCTTTCCTGGCTGCGCCCCCACCCCGACCCCACATCACCCCAGCACACGTAGGACAGAGCAGAAGAACCCTCTCTTAAGCTGGTCTCACCCGGGATATGGGCTGACGAGGTAATATCCCACACACCAGCACTCTTTGCCTGCCTCCCAGGGGCCACACTGAGACATTTCCAAAGTGTGACATTTTAAGTGGACCTAACACTAAATATTGACTCTACGGCTATTTTATGATGCACTCAATTTTACAGCGAAGGGATGTTCAGGGGAGCTGAGCTCTCTTTTACTCCATGTCATGAACGAGGTAAAAGGATATTAAGAGGCTATTTAAGAGACAGGGCCTGGTCAGAGCTGAGTCAGAGAGCCATTCTCCGTGAAGTCCTCCCCAAACGAGGACACATTTGAGATGAGGGATGTGTAACTGCACTCCTGGTCATAATTCAGTGGGAGGCATCTGGGACTCCTCTTTCCCTGTGCCACTGCCACTCAATCCATCATTTGGCAGGTCGTTTGTCACAGCCTTGGTAAACTCGTTGTTGATGGGGTCGCCTGTCTGAGAATGTGACTGTGCAAGGTGACAGAGGGTTACCTTTCCCCTCCACCTTCCTTATCAAAGGACAGATGTAAGGATACCCCAACTCACAATGACTGGCATTTTCGGATCCCACTATTTCATAAGGCAGGGGACAAGCTGTCTTTCAGTGGCTATCCACGTTGTAGGCCAGAAGTCACAAAATAGGGTGACTCAGGGAGCATCTGCTTGTCACACCTGGGGACTCTCTGGACGCCCAAATACAGTGTTTGACGTGGCCTCACCTGCTCATTGTGTCCTATTGGACTGAAAGGAAACAGATGCCAGGCAAGCCACGGTCTGTGTGGAACTGCTGAGAAAACCGTCTCCAGATGGTGTCTGAGGGATACGGCCCTCCAGCGACGGCACGACTGACAGGGTTCAGAAGCCTTGATTCTTCAATTTTGATTTCCTTTTTTTTTTCTAGAAAACTAATTAAATGCATTTTTAATCATAAAACTTCACTATAAAAGACCTTGAGAAAAAAGGTTGACAACCAAGCCTGAAGAAATTGAAATGTGAGCCTGAAGAAATTGAAATTTGAAAATTCAACAGAATGTTTCAGAAAACATCTTTTTTTTTTAAAGATTTTATTTATTTATTCATGAGGGACGCAGAGAGAGAGAGAGGCAGAGACACAGGCAGAGGGAGAAGCAGGCTCCATGTGGGGAGCCCGATGTGGGACTCGATCCCAGGACCCCAGGATCAGGCCCTGGGCTGAAGCCAACCAGGTGCCCCCAGGAAACATCTTTCTTGCACAAAATTGACTGTGTGATAGTTTTGACCACCTTCCATTTTGTGGGTTTGAAGACATTAATCTTTAGATTTGCTTAAACAGCCTTCGGAAAGCAAGCCCGTTCCCTGTTCAACATCCTTATTTATTTTATTTATTTACGGCCGTGGTGTGTGCCTGGGACCGGCCCCCAGGCAGCTCTGCTTACTCACTCCGGTCATTTTCCAGCCAGGACAGGCACCGAGGACGGGCACCGCGCAGAAAGTGGCCTCTGTGACTCAGAAGATCATTTCTGGCTCGAGTTGAAAGCAATCATTTCTGTGTCGCAAAATAGAATAGGATCAGCAGGGTGAGAGGGTGTTTATTTTTTCCCATTGCTTAGGAAAGCTAACACGCTGCCCTTTGATGTCCAGGAAATGCTCCTGGCAGGCACAGGGTGGGGTGGCCGTCAGTTCCTGGCGGCCTCACACAGCCAGGGCTGCTGCCCTGCCCACGGTGCCCCCCCCCCCCCGCCGGGAGGCCAGGAGGCCCATGGTGCTTCAGCCGCAGCAGCCACACTTTGGCACACATTGCTTTTGCAGGTTTTTTAAAAAGATTTTATTTATTCATGAGAGACACAGAGAGAGGGAGAGACACAGGCAAAGGGAGAAGCAGGCTCCCTATGGGAAGCCTGATGTAGGACTCGATCCCAGGACCCCGGGATCACGACCTAAGCCAAAAGCAGATGCTCAACCACTGAGCCA